CAATCTGTGAATTGTTATATAATCTAGCTTCAAGCACCCTTTCTTTCACAGTACAAAGTGTATGGCTACTTTTCTTAATTGCCTAGTTAATAATTGGAGTCTCACGGAACCCAAGGGTGTGGCCTAGTGGTCAATGAAGTGACTTACGATTCCTAGGTCTCAGGTTCAAATCCCAGCGGAAGTAAAAAGACTAGGTGGTTTCTTCCATCTGTCCAAGCTTGGTGGACAGACTTACCTGGTACTTGTTGTTGGTGGGAGGTAGCAGATATCACATGGAATTAGTCGAGGTCCGCATAAGCCGGCCGGGACACCATGATTATCAAAAAAAGAAAATAATACTTGGAGTCTCACTATGCCAACACTACTATAAGTTCTCTGAGATAGTTAATAATTGAGGTAACTTGGAGTACACGCAGCTCAGAATTCTACCTGATTGTCAGATGTCCCAAAGAAGCGGCCTATTATGAAATTAAAGTGTTCCCTTGCACATCATTATCCGTTTTTGTTTTTGTTTCCCATTTACAAGTTACTAAAAAGGGCAGCCCGGTGCACTAAGCTTCCGCTATGCACGGGGTCTAGGGAAGGGCCAGACCACAAGGGTCTTACCCTGCATTTCTGCAAGAGGTTGTTTCCACGGCTTGAACCCGTGACCTCCTGGTCCCATGGCAGAAGCTTATTATTACTTTTTACTCAAAGTCACTGTTGACTAATATCACTACATATATGTTGGCTTTTTTCAGGCACTTGATATGTCAAGCTGTCAGAATGTTAGTCACGTGGGTTTGTCATCTCTCACTAGCAGTGCTGAATGTCTGCAGCAACTTATCTTAGCATATGGTTCTCCTGTAAGACTTAACTGACTTAAGCATCTTTCAGTAGTATGAGTTTTAATTCGATTGATGATTTACAATTAATGGTATTTCAGGTAACATCAGCTGTCGCGGATAGTTTGCAGAAGCTTTCCAGGTTGCGGTCCGTCAAACTAGATGGTTGCCAAGTTACATGCTCTGGACTGAAAGCTATTGGAAATTGGTGTGTTTCACTAAGGGAACTGAGCTTAAGTAAATGTTTGGGAGTGACAGATGAAGGTCTCTGCTCCCTCGTAACGAAGCACAAAGACTTAACGAAGCTTGACATTACTTGTTGCCGCAAGATAACGCACGTATCCATTTCCCATATAACAAATTCCTGTGCCTCCCTTACTTCTCTCAGGATGGAATCTTGTACTCTAGTCCCGAGAGAAGCTTTCGTTCTAATTGGACAGCGTTGCCAGTACCTTGAAGAGCTTGACCTTACGGACAACGAAATTGATGATGAAGGTCGTTGCCCCTTTGCCCTAAAGGTTTCAGGCTTTTATCGTAGTTTCAGAACTTCCACCTTTTTGTATCTTATGCTCTCTGTACATATGCAGGCTTGAAGTCCATTTCCAAATGTGCCCGCCTTTCCAGCCTAAAGCTGGGGATCTGCCTTAATATAACTGATCATGGCCTTACTCACATTGGCATGTGCTGCTCAAATCTTAAGGAGCTTGATTTATACAGGTGTATATTTCACCGTGCTTCATATCTTGTGCAATTTCTTTGACATTTTTTTTCCTTTTTTTGTGATGGACTGGGAAAATTCTAACTTTACACTATGAAGTTCGAGAGATTAAAGTGTGCTGATTGCTGGATTAATTATTCTTCTTGACAGATCAGCTGGAATTTCCGACTTGGGAATATTAGCAATTGCTCGCGGTTGTGTTGGCCTTGAAATGATCAATATTGCCTATTGCAATCGTATTACTGATGGCTCGTTCATATCTTTATCCAAGTGTTCAAAGTTGAATACACTCGAAAGTAGAAGTTGTCCTCTTGTCACATCTTTTGGTCTTGCAGCTGTCACTGTGGGATGTAAGCAGCTTACCAAACTGGACATCAAAAACTGCCGCAACATTGATGATGCTGGAATGATTCCACTTGCTCACTTCTCGCTTAACCTCAAACAGGTAACTACAGTTTCTCTTTCATTGAATATAATGTTCGACGGAGTGAAGCATTGCATCTAATAAAGCTGGTCATCTGTCAAATACACAGATAAATTTATCGTACACTTCAGTGACGGACGTAGGGCTGTTGTCTCTTGCCAGCATCAGCAGTCTGCAGAACATTACAATCCTACACCTGAAAGGTTTGTCTCCTGGTGGACTAGGAGCTGCACTTTTGGCTTGCGGCGGACTTACTAAAGTTAAGCTGCAGACATCATTTAAACCGTTGCTACCACAACCTCTTCTTCAACATTTAGAAGCCCGAGGTTGTGTCTTCCAATGGAGAGAGAAACCATTTCAGGTACTTTTCTCATATGATTCTAACCTTTTTGTATTTCCTCTGAAAAGTATGTGATGCCACTTCATACAGTTTCAGAGCCTTTCTTGTTTGATAATTAATTGAGACAATAAAAGAGGCGTTTTCGTTTTGATTATCTTTGTTGTAATAATGAAAATGTCTTATTTCTTACTCCTATTGGTTAAACACAGGCTGAAGTAGATCCAATATGCTGGAAAATTCAGCTGGATAATTTAGATGAAGATTAAAGTCAACCATTTGAGCCGTTTATGCTGGTGGGCTGTGATGAAATGGATCGTCGTCCCAAAGGTTATGTCATTTGTTCATCTGTTAGCACTTTATCAGGCATTAGGTGCATTGTTTATGTTGCATGTTTTCTGCGTTTCGCGTCTGTAACTTGTTCATATGTATTCTCTAAATACTCGGTAAATTCCAAAGAAGAGGGAAAGCCATTGACCATTCAGCATTGCCCTGGCATTAAATCAATTTTGTCACAAATGTTATGTGATGGATTGAACAGATTGAGAAAACCATGTTTCATTGACTGCTTTGTGGATCCTTTATTACTCTCTACTAAAGGCAGCCGGGTGCACTAAGCTCCCGCTATGCTTCTCCGGACCACAAGGGTCTATTGTACGCAGCCTTACCTTGCATTTCTACAAGAGGATGTTTCCACAACTTGAACCCGTGACCTCTTGGTTACATAGCGACAACTTTACTATTAGAGGAAACTAAAATTACCACAAAAAGCTTTCCTCTTGCATTAAAACATCATTCGATCTTTTAGGAAAAATGAACAGCAGAAAGTATAGTCTCACAACTTGCTAGTTAAAGTATGCAACAGAGCGACCTGAATGCAGCAATCAAATTTTCTACTGTCTATTTTCTTTTCATTGCTATTTAACCATATCGAGATACTAAAGGTTATGGTGGGGTGAAAAGTACTCTTTCATCCTTAATCAGATGTTTCGCGTTCAAGTCCTAAGAATAGAGTCTCCTTTGGTAGAGAGTGTTTTACTATCTACAGTGAGACCTTGTAGTGCATATTCAAATTAGTTGGGCCACAAAGCGGGCATCGGACACCGATGGAGAACAACAAAATATTGAGATACTAATTAAATGTTCCCTCATTCCATTTTCACTGATTTACATTCTATTATATGGTCAAAAGTAATTTTCTCTCACGGCAATTCTGTCAACTGCTATTCAATCAATTAACCTCATCAGGTATGATGATGTCAAGAAGTCCTTGGACATTTCTACACTTTATAACCAATTGATTTAGCAAAAGAAACACTCAAAAACAGAGGGATCTAAAAGAAACAATTTAATGACGAAAGAATCTTTACAAGCAGATCAATTTGCACTCTGAATTTTAACATACAGGGTTTCAGCAAACAGGAAATATAATGTTCTCAAACAAAAAAGGCGAAATGGTCTGAATTTGTGCGTGGTCCGCAAGCGCTATGACACAAATGACATGTCACATACTTATCCTCTTATTAATTGCCATGTGTAATATTTGGGTCCCACTTTATAAAAAAATAATTTACTCACAAAAGTTTTATTTCCAGTCCATTCTCTCCGTCTAGGACGACACTGAGCCACCATTTTTCCCGGTAAATCCACCATTTTCAATCGTTAGAAGTCAAATTTGAACCTTCAGATTCTAATCAAACCTCAGTAAAAAAAAAATAGCGAAAAATGGTTATAACACTCTCGAAAAGACCCGCAAAATTACTCCGGCGAGATGGCTGCAGGAAAAAATGGCAACCATACGAAGAATCACCCTAAACCGTCACTGCTTCACCTTTTTGCCACCTGCCTGCCACCTTCCTTACCACTTTATCTTCGTCACCTTCTTTCCAACAAGCCCACTAACAATAGACCAAAAAAATCTGAAACGCATCATTTCACTACTCTTTGCCACCAAAATTTAAAGAAGAAGAAGAAGAAGAAGAAGAAGAAGGAGACGAGCAATAACCAATTCGATATAATTTTCTGGTTATGGAGGAGTTTGAGGGTGTGGGAAAACAGAAGGGAGGGAGGGGAGAGGAAGCTGGGAACGAAACAGGGAGAAGAAGCTGGGAACCAATTTTATCTCTCTTTTTTTATTTTATAATTTTTAAATCAAATTAATTCATTCACGCGCCTAATTAACGTGATCCGCATGCATTTTGGCCACGTCAACTATATAGTTGCCATGTAAGCATAGTCAATGGTCAAACGTATTTATTAGTACTCATTCTGTCAAGTTGGAGTGTTCAAATTGGAAAACTGTAAATTTATGTATCGGCTTTACAAACGGGTACATGTTTAAGTGGCCAGGATGTTATTTTGCCAAACAAAAAACGAAGAACAGATGTACATAGCTTTAAGGTTCTTAGCATTGAACCCGTTGTATTTTTAAATTCATGGTTTCAGACCTACCATTCTTGTTGCAATTTTAGTGCATTTTACACATAAATTTATGCTAATTAAATGTTCCCTCTTTCCATTTTCACTGATTTAAATTCTATTATAGGGTCATAAGTAATTTTCTCTCACGGCAATTTTCTGTCAACTTATTATCTAAATGAAATTTCTATCTAGTTATAATTTTAATTTCCAAAATAAAAATGAATCGTTATCTCAATGCTAGACCAAACGATATGTAAATGGAGTAAGTTTAACAAATATTATGAGATGTGGAGAAGGAATAACCTCTCTGTAGCTTTGATACATATGTACAGATGAATTTTACACTCTGAATTTTAACATACAGGTATAATGTCTCTGTAGCATTGATACATAAGTACATGATGGAGGGGGAGGATGAAAACAAAAAACGAATAACAGGCAGAGACGGATCCATGATTTAAAATTGTGTCGGTTCAATCTTTAAGGGTCTTGCATTGAACCGTTGTATCTTTAGAATCATTGATTCAGACCTACCATTTGTCGCAATCTAGTGCATTTTTACACATAAATTTATGCTTCGTGTCGAAAGAACGAGGTTCAGATGAACCAGTGACGGAACTCTACAGCCGCCCTTGTACATAGGCAGAATAATCAGACTCAGAATATCTTAATGATGTCATCAGATATAGGATTTATTTGAGAGCTTATATCCAGAAATAAGAGCTGACACAGCCAAAGCAAAGAATGCGAAGAACTCCATACTAATTGCTGCTACTGAAGAATCTGTGAATATATTGTCATTATTTTCTCTCATCCTATTTGTCAATGGCACAGCAGATGATGCAGCTGATAATAACAAGTATGCTACTACCTGCAATTCCCATAAAATTTTAGATCAAAATTCAATCAAGAATTACCCTTCCTTTTTCAAGTTTATTGATTTCAATTGTTTCATGTAAATATAGAAATATCACTAACCTGATCACTAATGAAGCTTAGCAAAGCTAATTTCTGCTGTGAAAATGATTCCTTTCCAGTTGAAAGTTCATGAATTTGTCTCAGAAATTGCAATCCTGTATATAATGTGCACAGAATTGCAACAGCCAACACATACCTGTTATAACCACATCCAATTCAATTTCCAAGATTAGAAATTACTACTACCTATTGACGAAGCCAAAATTTTCGCTAAGGGTGTTCAAGATTTTATATACCTGTGTAGAAAATAATTTTTAATTTGTATATGCAGTATAATTTTTTATTTACAAAGTTTAATTTTTTGATGAAGGATGTTGAGCTAACCACCCCTCGTTGTACGTGGCTACGCCACTGCTACTACCAATATGAATCTTCATTGTTCATGTCGCTCATTTCATTCTAATATTATGCAATATATACAATTAAGAATTAAAATAATTTTTTCTTCTACTGTCATATAAACCTCCAGTTGAACTAAAAGATTCCTAAAACACATCGGATCTAAAGTAAACATACTAACATGACTAAAACTTAATCAAAACAAGCTGATATTACCTACACTTTTTCTTTTAATTCAAAGGAAAAAAGAGGAAAAAACTACCCAGCATAGCCGTTGCTAATAACCGGCAAAATGTATATTTTTTATATATTAATGGATGATATATATATATTTTATAATTATTTTTTGTTTGTGAGATTATACTGAGTTGTTGTTGTATAAATATTTTTTTATGTTTAGCCAGCAAATGTTATTATTTTTGGCGGACCGGCCAAATGTGTAACTTACTCAAAAAAATATCATGATTATGGTCCAAGCGAAGTGTATACCTATATTCTTCATATCTATCAAAATCTTTCCAATCACCATGAGTATTGCTAGCCATGACAATGAAAGCAATCAATGAAAAAACCAAGCCAAAACCATGCAAAACTAAAGAACCCCTCTTCACCAAATCTTCTCTTTTCCACCTCCTGACGATGTTGGACACGCCGGTGCTGATTTCCGGTGTCTGGCTCTTTCCATCTCCGGCTGCCGGAGTTGTAGTAGGGGCTGGCAAAGCATCTGTCACCTTATCGGATTTTGTATCCGTCATTTTCTCCTCAAAATTAATGCCTTTAGTAGGCTTATAAAATAAGAAAGATTGCAAATTGGGAAAGGCAAAGAATTTTTGATAATTTGAGGATTGGGAAGTTATAAGTAGAAGAATAAAGAAGGGAATAGAAAAGAAACTAGAACTACTCTAGTTATCTTTGCTGTATTTGACAACTCAGTTTTGTCGTCATTTAAAAATCGGTTTGGATAAGAAAAAAATGTTTTTCTGGTTGTAATTATATGGAGTGTAATAAACTAATGATTATATTGAAGTTATGTACACTGAAAATACGAATAAATTTTATACTTTTTGATTAAAAAAATTGAAAAAATGACAATGTATAACCGCTCTCAAAATAATAGGCGAAAAATGCATATCTTTTATATAATTTTTATTTACATATACATTATGTATATTATATAATCAAATTACACAAATTTTTTATACTTTTTCGACTACTGAATGTAAATACTTTTTGGTGCAGGCTAAAAATGAAAAAACCCTTAAAAGTTATATACTCGCATTCGATGTTGTTCGAACTTTCTTTGCTCTTCTGTTCCTATTCTTTGAGTTTTTTTTACCCTTTAATTCAACTGGTTGTGGACCTTGTGGTATGTTCTTATCTTAATTTTCAACTTATTAATTCATGCTTTTATATATAAATTTATTTTTAAGTGATGTAAAGGCGAAATATGGTTTTCATATTAACAGTCCAAAAACTAAACCAGATGATTATTATGATAACGAATTAAATGATAACTGATTTGAGAAGGAGACACCCGTATGTGATTGGCATTGCAGTTAAAAGCCTTTGTGCTGGAGTTCGAATATTTTACATATGCATAATGTCAGGAATTTTATAATATGCTGAGTTCCAACATAATATCTTGAAAGTTTATTAACTAATTAATTTGTGTGATTTTCACGCGGCTTTACGATGTAGGCCCAGTTTCCAGATAGGTCGAGTTTGTACGAGTGAGTCCTGCTGAGTCAACTCAGATTCCAAGTCATCTAATCGAGACACGTTTGGTTGTATAATTTTTTCTGTAATGCGCTCATGATTCTAATCAAGACAACTCTAATTTTAAATTAGGATTGAACATATGAATTACTATCACTTATCATGGTCTACATTTAAATTTATTTTATGCTAACATTATTAAAAAAAAGTACTAACATATTTTCTATTTTTTCTATTGACATAAAATCTCCAATAAGACTACTCCTTACAAAAATATCGATTACAAAATGATGCTCGACTGTGTAGGTTAAGAGGGAGTGGCAACTCAAGAGTTGCAAAATAGGTGTGGCGATGCGCCTCATGTGCTTAAGTCTAAAATGACCAAAAAAGTGTAAATACTTGCTCGTATTCGGTGCTTACACTAAATTAAATAGTTTAAATATAAAAGTCACAAATAACGTAACCATGATTAAGTGATAAATAACTTATATATATGTAGGACAATGCATTCATTTGTTTAATGTAAATATCGGGTGCAGACTAATTTTTACCACCAAAAAGGAAGAAGTTTTCCATATCATTGTCTAAAAGTTTATCTTTATTTATTTTACAATTTAAAATTGAGGAGTCCTCTTATCATCATTTATTTCAGATGCACAATCGTTCATTTGCATCTCAAATATCAAGAATGAACATGTTTATTCTTCATATAGAATATAACGAAGTAAGACAGCATGACTCCCTGCTTTTTGTAATTTTATTTATCTTTAATTAATAAAATAGATCATGCAGGAAACCAAGTTTGTGACTTAAGTTGTCACTTAATTAAAACAAATAAAAAAAAACGAGAATACTTATTGAGTTTATCATTCTTTTTTGTTGTCAGCTCGAGTCGTCTCAAACATTGAAAAATGAGTTATTATTGGCGATATGAATTTTAAGTTTTTAATGATAAAGACAGTAACAAAAGGGCAAAAGTTACTAGAATGTTGTTAAGGTCTAATTTCTAGAAGTACTACAAATATGTAACGAAGATTAATTAGGGACACCAAATCATAAAAATTAGGATAAGAAAAACTTTAGGCCATATATTCATCCATTTCCTTGTACGAAATTGAGTTTTTCTTACTCCATATTAATTATGTAAAAAAGGACAAAAGAAAATCAAGGGCTGAAATGGCAAGTAAGAGTCAAATTGACTGGACATATTGGTGTAACAAAAAAGAATTATGACCTTTGCATGGGTTAAAATGAGGTCTATTTTTTAAGCTAAAAATATTCTCTCTATACTACTACATGTTTCATTTTTTTTTTCTCTACAAATCATGAATGTTCTCTTATGAGACAACATTCATGATTTGCTCATCATCTTCCTCTTCTTTTTTCTGATTTCCCTATTTAATTAAGGAATCAGACATATACTCCATATCCAAAATTCTGTCCAAATTTTCGGATTAGAAGAGGAACATAATTAACTAAATCAATTTTTTTGTTGCAGAATCTTGATTAATTACATGAAATAATGGCTTTGATCTCCATCTAATCTCAAGGGGGCTGAATTAATTAGAGCAGATTAATTAGAGATGGGTGCATGTTGTACCTGTCAAAGGGGCCAAAATTTTAAAGGCAAACATCATAATCATAATCATAATCATAATCATCATAATTATTATGAGGAGAATAATGGGGAGCAAAAAGAGGTTGAAGATGATTATCAAAGCATAGTAGGAAGAGGAGATTTGGGTGCCAATGTCAGGTTATGTGGATTTTCTAAATTTGTATCAATGTATAGTCAACAAGGTAAAAAAGGGATCAATCAAGATGCAATGACTGTTTGGGAGGTATTCTTCTTTTCATTTCTTTTAGATTATTATTATTAGGGTGCCCTCTTTCTTCATCATCCTATATTCCATTAAAAAATGATACCCTAAAAGATACAAATTTTCTCCTCTAATTTTTCCATTTTTTTTCTTCTTCTTCTTCTAAATCATTTTAACAAATTCTTGAGCCGAGGGTCTATTGAAACCCGCCTCTCAACCTTCATAAGGTAGGAGAAAGGTTAAAGGTAGGGGGCAAGGTAGAATTATACTGGGTCGTTGTTGTTGTTGTAAGTCATTATAACAATAGAAGTTCGACATATTTCACAATTTAAAAGCAAGAGTATTATGTATATTGTCATTGGTATTATGTGCCGATCAATTAATCTTCATGGTAGGTGCTGAATAACCTCTAAATTCAATCAAATAGAAATTCATTTCTTTCATGCTAATATTTCCGAGCCATATTGGCCCAAGGGTGGTCAATTGAATCCCCTTATCAAAAAATTACGTTGAGGTATAGGTCATCAACTTTTTTATGCATATTGATAGTTGAATTCCATTAATACAATGAAAACTTCTTTCATTCTGGTTAGGGGATTTAAAATATGTTTTAGGTCATGGGCAACTCCTAGCTGTCAGGAGTGGAGCTAGTGTTTGGTTTACGGGTTCGATCAAAACCAGTAGCTTTGGTTCAAATCCTGTATTTGTCTTCAGAAATCTATTATATATGTCTGAATTATTAAATTAGAACCTAGTAACTTAAAAAGACTAGAATCTTGAATTGATAAGCTTCAAATCCTAATTCCGGCTGTGATATTTTAGAATTTTGAATCCCTTTTGTCACCAGTCCAGTCTGCTCCTCTGCTGACATTCAACTTCCATAGGGATACTAGTTTTATTTTTTAATTCTAGTGGCCACTCTGATAGTTTTATATGTAGAGCATAAATTATGACTTATTATCTCAAAATGGAGGCAGTGGATTGATACTATTATTATATACTATTGTACAGAACTTTGGTGGAAAGAAAGGTATGTTCTTCTGTGGTGTGTTTGATGGACATGGACCTTCTGGCCACAAGGTAGCGCGCTATGTTAGAGATTTCTTACCTTCCAAAATTTCATCATATAATAATGAGATCAAAGCCAACAGTATTAGACGGGACGTCGAAAAGGATGATGATGAAGCTGACAACCCATACTTTACTGCATGGAAAGATAAATTTCTCAAGTCTTTTAAAGAAATGGATGAAGAACTTGAAGGTGATGGTTCTATTGAAAGTTACTGCAGTGGCACAACTGCAGTGACTTTAGTTAAACAGGTGAAAAAACATACTTGAAAGAACCTAAATTTCTTGAGATGATCGGGTTTTTTGACTATTTTGAGGTGGCTCTAATTGTTGAATTTTTTAGGGAGAACATTTGATAGTTGGAAATTTAGGAGATTCGCGAGCTATTATTTGCACCAGGGACGACAAAAATGAGCTCGTTTCTGAACAACTCACAGTGGACTTGAAGCCTAACCTTCCAGGTAGGTGTTTTTTTTACGCTATCAGTGTATTATAATCGGTTATAACAGTTTATTCACTGCATTTTAAGGTTACCAAATTATAGTTACTGTAGATAGTTACCTGTTGTTACATGTCATTTTAATCTGATGGTGTTAACAATCTTTACTCTGTCACTACTTGGGAAAGTGTTTACATAAGTTAGTTTAATCGGATCGACTTCACTTTGTTAATCTATTGTGCTGTCAATTTCAACAGCTGAATATGAGAGAATAAGAAGTTGTGAAGGAAGAGTAATGGCGATGGAGGAAGAACCGAGTGTATATAGGGTGTGGATGCCTGATCAAGATTGCCCTGGCCTAGCCATGGCTAGAGCTTTCGGAGATTTTTGCTTGAAAGATTTCGGCCTTATCTCTGTCCCTGAAGTTTATTATAGAAAGCTTACTGAGAAAGATGAATTCATCGTCTTGGCTTCAGATGGGGTAAGCTATATCAGAATTCAAACTATTACTACATTGTTGCCTATAGTGGTGAAGCCAGGATTCTCATTAAGAGGTGTTAAAATATATATAAGTAAACATATGGAGAAAATTAAGAGAAGTCAACATATAGTATATATGTATATAATGTTTTTCACTTACCTACACTTGCATTTTTTTCCGCGACTGGTTGTGTAGTATGCCAAACTTGGAGTTAGACTTCAACATCAATGAAAAGCTCCCCCGAGCACATTTTGGCCAACACTATAGGACTAGAGGCGGATATCATCGCTGGCTAATATATATGTATATGCATACAGTGGCAGAGTCAGGAACTTCACTAAGAGGAGTCAAAATATAAAGAAGTAAGCATATGAATAAGCTAAGGGGACTCAATATATAGTATATACACATAAAATAAAATAAAAATTTGACCTATATATGCGTGTAGTTTTCCGGCAAAGGGGTGTTAGTTGACTACCCTCGGCAAAGGGTGGCTCTGCCACTGAATGCACATATACAATCATATACATAGTCCAAGTCGAAAGCAAGGGGTCAGTCACTATATATATGTAGGAAATTAAGCGACTCATAGACTTAATAAGGCAGCTAATGCACGTATTCTTTTTTTTTTGTGTGTGTATAGTTGTGGGATGTTTTAAGCAATGATGAAGTGATACGGATAGTAGCAACAGCAAGGAAGCGATCTATTGCAGCAAGATTGGTGGTGCATCATGCAGTTCGAGCCTGGAAATACAAGTACCCGTGTGCCAAGGTCGATGATTGTGCTGTCGTATGTTTGTTCTTGAAACGCCAAAGGCCTCTGCTCACGAAATCATTGTCAGAAGTGACTGAGCTGAGCTTAAATTACACAGAGTTAGCGAGCAGTCAAAACTACACCCCCAATTCCAAGATAGATGATGGTCTTGACACACTGCTAAATTATCAACTCAAGGAAGAAAAAGATCCAAATGTTGTTGCAACTGGACTTAATGATGTATCAGGTAATGATCATAACAAGAGTTCGTCAAGGCACGCTCGTTACCTTAGCAGAAGAAAATCTGCAATGAATTTTTGAGTCCATTGATCAGCTGTATATGTTAAACTAAAAAATGTATACTACAAATTTAAATGAAATACTTGTATGTATTTTGATTTGTATAGTAGTCATGGGATAAAAGATTTAAGGCAAAAGAGTTTGGTGGGTAAAAATATATTCATAAAATCAAGTTTGACACTTCAAGAGAGTTGAAAATGTTAGTAATATACTGAGACTAGCTAGCTAGATAACCTAAAGATAGCGCAGTCACTCCAACGAATCTTATCCATGAGCTAAAATAGGGTGATTTTTAAAAATAGCCAGATTTACAACTACTCGTTCAAAAATAGCCCAATTTCAAAAGTAATCGAAATTTAGCCACTTTTTATGTAAAGATAAATCTGAGCGAAAACACTGTTCAAAACCCGAAAAATACTCCAGTATATTATGCTGGAGTTCCAGCATAAGTATACTTGAACTCCAGCTACTGGAGTTCCAGGATAATATGCTGGAACTCCAGCATAATATGATGGAGTTCCAGCATAAATACACTAGAACTCCAGCATAATATACTGGAGTTCCAGCAAGTATAATGGTCCAGTATAATATACTGGAGTTTGGAGCACCAGTGCTCCAGTCTCCAGTATATTATACTGGAGCCAGCAAAGTATACCGGTCCAGCATAATATGCTGGAGTTCATACACAAGTGCACTGAACTCCAGTATATTATGCTGGACCGGTCTCTATTGCAGCAAAACGGTGGCTATTTTTCATTGACTTGGTAAACACTGGCTATTTTTGATTGACCAGTCCGAAAACTGGCTTTACCGTGAAATTTTGGCGCTAAAATAGGAAAAGTTCCCGGCGCGAATCCGGATTAGTCGGGCCCCACTATGGGTACTGGATACCGGGTGAGAAATCAAAAAAAAAAAATAAGAAAAGTTTAGCACATATATAAAGAGCAGAATTCACTGGCTAAAAATAAACCAAAACTTTGTTTTTTTTTTACATTTGCTCCATCACATTTTTTTGGGTATTATCACTTTTAGCCCGCATCAGAAAGCATTTACATCTGGTAGCCAAAATAGTGTATACAATTTGTATATATCACAAACAAAATGTATATACAAAAAATATATAAATTTTATCCATTTTTTCGACTATTATTTTTAAAGCGGCTATACGGTGTTATTTTTTCGTATTTTTTATGGTAGGTAATTGGAAGAATAATACAACTTAAGTCTTAAGATGTCACTTTGGCTTATTAATAATAATGATGTAAAATATTCGATTTAGCAGTTGAGAAGTTACTTTGATAAAGAATACATTACTTTGAATTTACTTTTCTTCAATAGCTTTCAAGCTGAACTCGAACCGATTTGATTTTTAGACGTAGTATATTAGTCTGAGATTCTTCACTGGATGGACTGTACTGTTCTTGTATGGTTCAGAATCTGACCTCACGGTAATTAACGGAGTTAATCTCCTCTTGAGCTAATCCATAATTAATAAGTGGTATAGCCACTTATTAATAAGAGGATTCGACTCTTGTCCGATTGAATCTACGAGGGCACGGCCCATTCATTCCCCCACGGGGACGGAACCTCAGCGTAGCCACGACCATTTATTGCCAGCTCACGAAGCTCACATTTATAAATACTAAGAGTGGAAGCCCTAGAAAGGGGGCTGCTTCTTCACTACTATAGACAGGAGAGAGAAGGGAAAAATATACCCATCTTACGGGAAGAGAAAACACCATTGTAAGGCTCTGAACCTCTTCATGGAGAGGCAGACCAAACAAATATTATTAATAAAGGCTTTTAATGTTTCTCCCCCTAATTCTGAGCACTTATTTACGTTTCTTTCATTTGGTCCAATGGATTATTACGATTTGCTATGATTTTCCCGTGATTATTTGTATTGTTTTGCATTCACAAGATATGTGATAACTTTTGAGCAAACAATTTGGCGCCATCTGTGGGGATTTCATAGCAAAATCGCGTAGTTCTTCCATGGACTAAAAGGAAAGAAACGCCAGTTGGGAAAAAAAACCCAGCAAAAACAAGCCAAAGCGGCATATCAGGCCGATGGAACTCGAAGATCTCGAATCGAGGTCCGGTTCCTCTGTCCCTCATCTATCTAATGGTGCAAACAAGAAGAAGCAGCCCCTCTTCTTTTGGGGAGAATCTTCGTAAGAGATCCCCCACATCCCTGATAAGGGCTCCAGCCGGAAACCAGCACGGAGGAATCTCGAATCGAGAAGCGCTTCGAGACAGCCTACATACCCTGGTTGGGAAGATAACGATTAAGCCGCTCAAGATCTCGAATCAAAACCGAGCTTCAGCTCCCAAAAACCCACGAACCCAAAAAAAAAAAAGAAATTTCAACTACGGTTGAACCGGGACTCAGGCTATGCGCCTTCGCCATTATATCAAGGCTATGCGCCTTCGTCAAAAAGTTCAACTACGGTTGAACCGACACAGGCTACGCGCCTTCACCAGAAAGTTCAACTACGGTTGAACCGGGACTCAGGCTATGCGCCTTCGTCAAAAAGTTCAACTACGGTTGAACCGACACAGGCTACGCGCCTTCACCAGAAAGTTCAACTACGGTTGAACCGGGACTCAGGCTATGCGCCTTCGCCATTATATCAAGGCTATGCGCCTTCGTCAAAAAGTTCAACTACGGTTGAACCGAGACAG